AGTTCAACTGAATAATTAGGCTATAAGTCTAAAAACTCTAATAATCAGAGAATTACTATTGAAAACAGTATAGTTCCTAGATAGCTATATCGTAATTACTGAAGAGAGTTTGGTGATTTTCAAGATTTCCAGGTATTCACACCTTTGAACAATACCCGATATTGCAAGAAAGGTACCTAGTTGTATAATAGATAGATATATTCCGTGAACACTCAGATGTGGAATATAAATATCAAAGTGCCATCTAAGCTTTTAGACATCATCAAGCAACAGAGAAGAGATCTTAACAATATAATATTGTGTTCACAATTCTATTCTACTTTATTTACCTTACTTCGCTCTTAGTAGTCATAAATGAAATGAGTGAAATCCGAGTCTTCCTAGACAATCTCCTTTTTCAAAAACAAATCTTAGTTGGCTTAGATAACTCTAAAGTCTATAAGGCTGTCTCCGCCTAACAGATATTCATAGCTATCATTATATATTATCTTCTAATATTCTTTAAAGATGAATCCTAGTTTGTAAAGCTATTTGACTGCTGTGCTGGAATAAATAGCTCTCTCAACCTTGTACGTAATATTTTCAATAAACCTGTTGGTTATATTCTCATTATTATTCATATATTGTACTGTTTTCCTATATATCACAATTATTTTAGCAAGCTGCTATGATATAATTTCTATAGAACATGATTAATTAACTTTCAGTTCACTACCAACATATTTAAAATAGAATAATTAAACTTACTATCACTAATTTTGTATTATTTTGAACATTTTATGTAATTATAATATGTCTTAAGAGTTTCTGGGAGGAGAAATATTGTCACGAATGTGGCTCGGCGAGGAAAAGGTTTTCAAGTGACACATGGTTATGAGTCACAGGTATGTTATTGTTTCACACATATGACTCATTCGAGTCATATTATTTGTTATGTGTGGGATTTGTGATGATTTCGCACATAACTCGAATATGAGTCATGGGACATGCGCCTGACGAGTATGCCATGCAAGTGTGCCTTGCAGGTATGCTTTGCACATATGATTTATGTTTCGCACATGACCTCGTTATGAGGTCATGGGTTTCATGCATATGATTCAGTTGAGTCATATGATTTGTTTATTGTGTTATGATTGGTTTATGAGTTTTTACACATGATCTTGCTATGAGGTCATGGGTTTTGAGCATGTGACCATCTTGGTCACATGACTAGTTTGTTATAATTTGGTTTCACACATGTGACCACTTTGGGTCACATGACTACGGGCGGGAAGAACACTATATAAGGAGGCCGATGCGGCCAAGAAGGATAGGTTCTTCACACTTTGTTCTAAGTACTTTTCACCGTCTTTACCATTACTTCACCCCATGCATTTCTTTCGTATCCATGATGGGCCTTAATGTCTTGGATTCTGTGGGAGATAACTGAGTTTGCTTAGTAGTTCCTGGGGTCTTTAGTGTTGAGGTCTGTTAGGCGTTGCGTGGCAGATTACTTGTTTGCTTCTTGTTTCGTTGCCTGATGGTTTCTCATGATGCTGTCACTTCGAGCTCTTCATCATGGTCGCTTACGAGCCCCTTTCGGTAAAATGTCTTCAGCTTCCTGTCTATAGTCTACTCGCAGGTTTCGCGTTAGATTAGGGGGGATGGAACATGGTATTTGGGGGGATCACTCGTGTCGTTCTTTGGGCCAGCTCATGTTTGTGTTGGGTTTTAATGGAGTCCTTAGTTCTCATGATACAAAATACCCTTGGGTTAGACTGATGACCTTCTGAAGCTTGAACTCATCGTACTGGCCGCATTATTCCTCAGCTGGCGGGGCAGCACCCACCCAGCTCCTCCTCGTTATGCTATGTTTCTACGGTTGGAATCCTACGATGTTGTTTATCGCCGTTCCCTTGGAGCTTTAGTCCTTGTGGCATTTACTGTGATTCAGTCAGGTATTTCCTTCTTGCCTCAGTGGGGATAGCTTTGACCCTCAAAAACCTTGCCCCCTGATGTAGTCCTCTGTTGCTACCTGGGATGGTGTAGGACGATTGGCTGCCAGACACTTGCATTGTCTGTGCATTTGGGTAGTTCAGTTGTGGATTGTGGTTGGTAGCTTCACCCATTGCAAGTGGGGCCTACCTTCTGTTTGTCTGCTTCTGTTCATTCACCCTCTCCCTTCTTGTCGCGTCAGTTGAGGATGCCTCTTACCCGTCGTTCGGTCCGTACCTGTTGCCGGACCTGTGGGGCTGGCTTTGACTGGCTCTGCTTACTCTTTCCCAACTCGGTTCGACTTCAGTTCGGCTGGATTGGATGGTGTAGCTGTTGCCAGTGCTTTCGGGTATTAGTGCTGCCTCCTTTGTGGCTCCCAGCTGTGGCTGATGGGCCCTCCTCGGCTATGCGGTGTTGACGGTTGAGACTCTGTTAGCGTGGCCAAGACCAATGGCTGTCTGATGTAGCTGGGTATAGGCTGTCCTGTAGCTGTCGGATGGTTGATCTGTCTGAGGGGCTGGAGGGGCTGGATAGGCTCTACAGTGTCTGGTGTGTGGGGCTTGGGGGAGGCTGATTGGGGGGGGAGAGGCACTTGCGAGCACCGGTTGGGCCTATATCAGGTTGGGCGAGGTCCAATTAAGTACTTCCAGTCTGGCTAGAGCTGTTGGATGAAGCTGCTGAGTGCTGCAAAGCTCCCCAGTGGCCTGGCTGGCTGATGGCTACCTGTGAAGATAGTGGGTTGCAACCTCCTGGTTGGACTTGTTTGGGTCTTGCGCGCTGGGCTTTGTGGGGTTTGTTTGGTTTCTTTGGATGGGCTATGGTTTGGGCAAGAGGAGGCATGGCACCACGGGTGGGAGATAGGCTCTACTGACCTTTTCAGTCTGTCACTACCTCTATGTATTTCCTATGTTTATGTTGTGTTGTTTGGGAAACAGGCAGCAGGTACAGGTTCTCCTCACCAGTACGCTCTTTGGAGGCAACAGGCAAAGTGGGTTCATAGGGTCGACGGCCTGGCATGCGGATGCGAGAAGTAGACGTCTGGGTTGCCTCCTTCCTGCCATTATGCTGCTTGTAGGTTTAATTTGTTTTATATTGGTTTTCTACTGTGGTGGAGGTTTTGTGTGACGGTATTTAGACCGGGTGGTAGTGTTTTATGTTTGTTGGGCGAGGAACCTGGTCGGGTCGGTCTTTTGCTCGGCTTAGGCTATGCTTAATACTAGTTGGCTTCATACTAGAGGGGCTACGGACTTGGACCGAGGCGGACACTGGGTTGTTTGATAGTCTTGTAATTTGTTTCTATGCATGCATGACTCGGGAATAATAGGTGCAGGACCATTGACTTAGTTAGCTTAGGATTAGTGGTATACCGGTTAGTGGTATCCCTGTGCCGGCGGGGGCTCGTCGTATGCCAGTGTTGGTGGTACAAGTTTAAATAAAATTAGATTGAATTCTAAGTACTTTTCCTACTTATTACTTTAACGAATATAAAACACCTTACGATCTTTATCTTTATTGCAATGTTATTGTTCTGCCGAGGAAAGTTCATCACGAAGAAGAGTTAGAGAAAGCTTACGATAGGCGTTCCCAACAGAAGACAAAGGTCTTGTACTATCGGTAACGTAGGAAGAGGCCTAGTGCTATTGTAAGACTAAGGAAAGATACTGAAGGAGAAAGGAAGTATCATTTCCCGTCGCCAAGAACTAACTATCCAAGGAGGGATCGTTACAAATATGATCTATTAAAAATTAGCTAAAATATATTATCTGAATAATAAGATAAAACATTTTTCTACATCCAGTCAAAGTTAGTATCTAATTGAATAAAATCTGTTTTCATATCATTATTTTAAAAATGATATTTATAAGATTTAAATAAAATAATCATATCAATTTGAATCCTGAAAGGTATACAAAATAATTATTTATTAGTTAAGCTATTTAATACAAATTATTTGTTTTCTACATCTATATCACTATACAAAGATTTTCTATATAGGTAATAAGATATATTAGACGTATTCTGAATATACTTCAGATATCCTTAATATTCTAGATATAAAGTTATTTTTTTTATTAATACAAGTCTTTTAATGATTTTACTTTATTATAGTACTAAGTATAAATATCCATTTATTACAATAATAATATTATCTAATTATATTAAAGGTTTACTATTTTGTACTCTGTAAATGTTTTCCTATTAAATTGATAGTGACAATATACTAATAATTATTATATAGTATTATAGGAAAGCTACCAATCCTTTGCATTTTAGTATCAGAATACAATTGACCAAAGTCTGGAAGGTAATATGTAGTAGGCCTTATAATTAGGTGAGAGGAAATTATTGGAAGTATGATATATTTCTTAATATTATACATAGTAAAAGAGGATCTGTACACCTTTAAGTTTAAGTATTCCTAATAGATATGATAGTACTTTATTTAATAAAACTTATATTCATTTTAATTTACTATAATTATGATTTAAATTTCTTGTACTTCATAAGATAAAATCCTATTATTTACTTAAAGTAATTAGATATTCTGAATTTAGAAAAGTTAAACCAAGTTATGATAATATTTTAGTATTTTATAATAACATATTTTCTATCACATTCTCCACTAAAAATATATTACTTCAATTGATTATATAGCAATATTAAATCCTTAATTGCTGTATCAAAACCTCTATGCTATTCCTCTAGATCCCTGCATGGTATGATGGAAGTGTTTTTTTCAATTATTTTTTTCAAGTCCATCTCTTTGTTTACTGGAAGGGATTAACGGATCAAAGATCCCTAAAAATATCATACTTGACAAGTTTTGGTCCGCGAGAAACATAAATTTAGTAACTTATCACTCGCATGCGGGAAAAATTCTTTTTTAACCTTTCAATCAAACTTACCGCGCAAACCGCCAAGAATGCGCTATACTCCAAACGCATCTTCTGGACCCTCCTCCTGCCCTCTAACTCGGAGTCAATTCCTCCTTCCTACACCCACTCACCCGTAACTCAACTGCGATCCGGAACCAAAAACAAATAAACAGACAAAACATGCTCGCGATCCACCCCTCCAAGGAAACCCCCGGAACGATCCACCTCCTCCCCTGTCATGTTAAACATACCGGGAGTGCAAACGCTACGAAGCATTGGGTTGTGAATGCTGGTGAAGTTGACGGTTTCTAATTCCCACTCTTTTCTTTTCATGCTCGGTTGGGATGTGCTAATTGGGGGTGTGGCGTGGTGTGGGGTTTGTTGGGTCGGGCTCGTAGGGACTAAAGTTGCGCATTTTCGTGGGAGGAAGTTAGTTGGGAAGCCTGTTTCGCTGCCGGAGGGGTATTCTGGTTTGTTTGCTCGCTACCGGTATGGCATTGGATGGGAGGCTAATCATGGATTGGGGGATAGGGCATGTATTAACGGTTACGGATGAAGCCCCCAAGGGTGCGATTGAGAAGTCGAAGAGGAATCGGCCCATGGAGGAGGAGGGAGAGGAGAAGAGAGAAGTCAAGGTGTTTAAGGGGTTGGCGAATTTTGATGATGTGGTGGTTTGGGGTCATGATATAGCGCCAGAGGAGGGTGGGGAGTATGTTGTAAAGGGTATGAATGAGTGGGTTGGGCTGGCGAGCAAGGTGTGTTTTCCATCGGTCAGGTGTTTTGGGCTTTTTTAGACCTAATGGTTCGTAGATTCACAGCTTTGGGGATGAGGGCGAGGAGTCGGTGTAGATGATTTATCATATTATGATAGCGCTGGAGGTGATTGTTCACGGGAGTTATCAGGGGTCTAGGTTTCATCGATCTGACGGTTTTCCCATGAGATTACTTGTAATGGTATGCGCTCAGTAATATTTTGCTTCTCTTGATAACGCTATTTATTTGATAGCACTTGTACCCAATAAATTAAGTCTAATGTTGTTTGTAAAACTGCAAGGCTGATTAGAACAGTACTGGGTTAGAATACCGGTAGACTGCGGCATCGTCATTGTTGAAGAGAGTATGATAATATGATATCATGAGGAAAGCCGTTTTCCCTCAATGCTCATATCATAATGGAAAATAGAAACGACTTGATTGCTCAGTGTCCGATTTCCGCAATTCGTGAAGCCAGTGACAGTAAGATCGTCATTCTCTTTTCCACGATTTCTGTACCCATAAAACGAAGCTCGATACCACCGGTTTCCCAGATCTGTTGCACGTACCGATAATGCAATATACGGTACACACACCCGGTGCATTAAGCTCGAACACAGGGGGCAAAATTTTGAACAGTAAAGTACCGGTATGGCGCATTATCTGCGCACAATCTGGGCGCCCGCGCTACTCGAGCAGATTCAGACACCAATGTTCTGGCACTTCATGCCGATACCTGGAAAGTGTGTTGGTGCAAGGATTCTTGTGTGACCGAGAGAGACCAAGAGCAGGCTAGGAATACCGTAACCTAGTGCCTTGAACTTTGTACGAGTATCGGCACTTTTTAGTCAATCAAACTCCGAGCGATAAGGCTTTATGATAAAAGCTTCCTTAATGAAGGCAAATGTGCTCGCGCGGTTTAGGTCAGCATTACATAGAATAGCACAGTGACCCTGTACCTTTGGCGTGGAGATAGTTGTTTCTCTCCGCAAACTGTACAAGTACTAGTACCCGAGTACAAGTAGTCTATAGCCTGAACAAAAGCGGTAAGATCAAGTCTCCAACATCGCGTTAAATCCAAGATCCATACTCATTCATTGTGGTACAAGTCCCTTGAATGTTTGTCCATTGCAGTACTAGTACAAGTACCAGTACTTAAGTACTCGAGTACTCGTACAGTGTGGACACGGGAACGGCGAATCGCGCAGAAACCCCCGAGACAGGACATTGTCCGACAACCGTAAAATTTATGATGTGATGGAATTCTGATGTCGGGAGTCTGCTTCGAAGTTTGTGAGGTTTGTGACTTCCGTGAGACCGAACACACAGTGCCCTGCCGAAATTCTCCATCGCTTAACGTTACTCGGATTCCGACCATGGTGCAAACAAGTTACTCGAGGCGGCTTAAGCTCAAGCACAAAAGCCTCTTCCTCCATAAAATTCTTCAAGAGAACGGTGCGTGCTGAGCTGTGCTCCATCTACTCGAAATTCAACCCTCGGCATCGAGCGGATTTATTGACATACCGTTATATTGATTCCTCCCTCGTTTCCAGCCGGATAAGAGGGCTCCGAGTCGATTTTATCATTTGGTGCACCGGCCGATACCGGTATGATGGAAATGGGGTGAGAAAGGAAGAGGAAAGGAAAAGTTTGGCTCGAGAGACATACGGTACTTCCGTTTCTGAGTGTTAGGGGCTGGGCAAGGTCTCGGATGACAACACGTGATAAGGAAGGTTGCAGTCCGCAGCAGTACCGTTATCAAACTTTGATGGATCAGGGGGACTGATAGCCATACAGAAGACAGCAGTTGTTTCTGTTTGACGGCTGCTCGCCTTGGAAACGGCCTTCCTATCACAGGGGTGAGCAGCACTCGTACAGCGCTGTAATCCGTCATTGTTGCTGTTGGTTTCATTACCGTATCAGACTGTGCTGTACGGGTACAGTATCATACTCGCACAGTACCGGTACGATACCATACCGGTACAGTGCACGAGGACTGCACCGGTGCTGCTGTACAGTCATCTTCGAATCCATAACTGGTGACACCTCGCCGCCCCTAATCCTCACCGATTCCATCCACCGCCAACCAACCGGTCTACTGAAAGACTATGATGGCCACATTCATAGGGGGGAGAAGCAGATCCGCCGAGATTGATGAGAGAGCATACTTTCTTCGATAAAGAATTATGCCAGTAGCATCCCACTATCATATTCCTTCACTCACGCATTTGTGAAGAAAGCGGAGAAGGGTGTCCAGTGCAGTGTGCATGGCACGCTCTCGATTGTCGTGATACAATGACCTTGTCATATCAGACAAGGCGAATGGTTGCCTGGGCGGTAAATGGCGTTTGTACTAGTACTGGGGATGAACGAAGGGCAGGCGGTGACTAGACCTGACCAATCTCAGTCCTTGCTGTGAGGGGTTATCGATAAAGGGGAGGAAAGAGTTGCTGCGTGCGGCCATATGTTACTGTAACTTGCTTTTCTGTCACAATACCGATATTGTGGTAATCCGCGGCGAGCCGAAAATAACCCCAGCCTTCTCTTTCAGTCGTTGGCCAAGAGAAATATATTTGTTTGAGATTACGTCTGAAGGGGCTTTCCGAAATTGCGAGCACCTTCACCACCTCCTCTTTTCTTCTTCTCGCTCCTTCCCCTCCATCCGTTCCTTCCTTTGATCCTCTTTCTCTCACCCCCTCTCTCTCCACCTTGACGGCAGGGATTTCCCTTCCCTTCGCATGTCCTTTTTTTATTTTTTTTTCTTTGCTGGTCAGCCAGCATCAGTCAACAGGAGCAGCCTTCACATCGTCAAACCAACGCAACCATTTTCCCATTCAGTATTTCGGCATTTTATTTCTATGAGGGGAGGACGCAGAGAGTCGAACTTGTTGCCAGCAAGGAGGCGGAATCTAGGGAGGCGGGGCTTGGGGAACAAGAAAGCATGGGCTAACGAAGAATCGTAAGGAGTGGGTGGACACGACTCTGGACAACAGAGCAAGCGATTTTTTTTCCCCCTCGGTTGAGACGCGCCCTGGGGGCACTGCTTGTTGGGAAAGGGAGGACGAATGAAGGGGACAAAGCGACTACATCAACGGCACACAAGAGAAGGGAGGGAGGCTGGGGAGAGTGTGTGTGAGTGAGTGAGGGATGCGAGCTGGGACGCAAGAAAAAACAAGGAGCTGTGTGGAACTGACTGAGCAGGGGCGCGCGCGGTAACCACTGACCACCCAATCTAGGACAAAAGAAAGGAGGCTCTTACGCCTTGGGGCATTCTGGCCCCCTGTTCACACCGGAGGGTGAAAAAAAAAAACCATCATTTTTCCCCCCTTCTCCTTTTCTCCCCCTTCTTTCTGCTATCCTTCTTCTTCGCCCCTTCTATCCCCCGGCTGAGGAAGAGATCCGCCCTCTGGATAGTTATGTTCCCCAGAGCTTCTCATCAGTTTCTTCGGTTACATCTCTGGATGCAGATGTAGCTGGTATGTAATAGCATGTGCATGGCACTCTGTAGATATCATAGTATTTTTGCCTTCGTGTTGTAGCGACCGTCGCTGCTTTTGGCTGTGTGGTAGGAGGCAAATCTTTGTTGCAGCCTCGTTGAGAAAGAGTCTGCGACTCATTCTATGTCCCGAAACTGGTTAGCTTAGCGGCGTTGTGTGATTGAGTCAGACGCGCGGCACCAGGCTGGGTCTTGGCACTAGAATATATAAAGGCACGGGCATCCCTCCACCCTCCCTTTAAAAACCTCTGGTCTCCTCCACGCGTAAACATCATATCCCCGTTTTGTCCATCACCTTGACAAGACCCGAAATATCGACTTCTACAACGACCTGATCAGTGTTCGTTCTGCTTGAAGCGATCTCTCTACTCTTCTCAAATTCACTCCTTTTGTTCCTTTTCCACATCGCCACACGGTCACATCCGAGCGATTAGTCAGCGTGGTGAGAGGCACTTGTCAGACATCGATCTTTCAACAATAGAATCCATCACCATCTCATCACCCTTCCCGTTCACGATTCGTCTATTGCAGATTAGAACGGCTACACTCTCTACAAGCCCCATATCACCTTTAGTAAAGTAGGGGAGACATTTGGTTGTTCTTCTCCTCGACCAACCTCATTGCCCTAAACCGCTTTTTCCTGATACCCCGCTCCGTCACCATTACATCAACTTACCCTCCCGTCAACTCCACACATCCGAAGCCTTTTCCTCAACCATCCGCAACCTCATCAACCGCTTCGTCCATCAAAAAACAACAACTTCCATTATCGATCTTAATCATGGCGGCTATTATTTCCCACCCCCAGAATGCCCAGCAAGCCAAGGCTTTCACTAGCCCCGCTTCTTTGTCTTTTCCCGGTGGTGCTGGCGACTTGACTCCTCCATCCGACGTGGAGAGTCATAAAGCCCAAATGAACGGGCAGCAAGTCAACGATCAGTCCGGAGGAGTTGTTACTCCCGCGACCCCGGCTGCAACCCCAGGTGGTGGACCAACCGTTAGTGGTATTGTGCCTACATTGCAGTGAGTACTACCAAATTATAACCGGTTTTGATTCATCAAGCTTAACTGGTATGCGTAAAGAAACATCGTCGCAACCGTCAATCTTGATTGTCGATTGGATCTGAAGACGATTGCCCTGCATGCTAGGAACGCAGAATACAACCCCAAGGTACTAACATGCTTTTTGCTACTCTGGCTGTCTCCCTAGTCTTTTGTAGCAATATGCTTATGCTGTTACTTTTAGCGTTTCGCCGCTGTTATCATGCGTATTCGCGAACCTAAAACCACTGCACTCATTTTCGCATCCGGCAAGATGGTTGTCACCGGTGCCAAATCTGAAGATGATTCCAAGCTCGCCTCGCGCAAATACGCTCGCATCATCCAAAAACTTGGGTTCAATGCTAAATTCACGGATTTTAAGATCCAGAACATTGTTGGCTCCTGTGATATCAAGTTCCCCATTCGCCTCGAGGGTCTCGCCTCTCGCCATCATCACTTCAGCTCTTATGAGCCTGAATTGTTCCCGGGGTTGATCTACAGAATGATTAAGCCTAAGATTGTTCTGCTTATCTTTGTGAGCGGGAAAATTGTTTTGACGGGTGCGAAAGTTCGCGAGGAGATATACATTGCCTTCGAATCCATCTACCCTGTGCTCAATGGTATTGTTCTTTCCCTCTATTTCTCCCGTGGCGTTGGGGAATTTGTGCTTACAATTCCTACAGATTTTAGAAAAGTTTAAATCTTTAGGGTTCATTACAACGTTATCTTTTCCCTTGTACTATTACCTCTTCTCTCTTTTATGACTGCATGACATCTCATCAAAAGTAAATTGGGAGGGCTCATTCCGGTTTCAAATAGGTAAAGCAGTTCACCGCGACAACAGTCGATGGAGGACGCTTTCACCGTTGCTATATTATTTTGCATCGTCCGGGGTGTTTTTGTTTTGGGTTCCTTTTTTCCATTTCCTTTTTTACTTACTATCACATGGGTATGGGTTGTATTTCTGGAGCATCGCACTTTTATTAGAACCCCTTGTTTTGTGAATCCACCAGCATTTCCCCCCTCTTTTTTTTTTTTTTTTTTTTTACCTCTCTTCAGTGATCCCAAGCGGTTAGGCCGACCTACGGCTTTGCCTGCAGGTCGGCAGTCCGGCCAGTCCGGCCAAGATTTTGAAGAGCCTGGTTCAGTCCGGCTTGAATTTTGTCCGGCCGCCAAAACCTGCAGGCACCCAGGCAACCGCCCGGCTGTGGGGCTTGGCAGTAGGGGTCCAAACTGCCAGATACCCAGGTAAAGCCGCCAGATGCCCAGGCAATGCCATAAAATGCCTAGGCAAAGCCGCTAGATGCCCAGGTAAAGCCGCCAGATGCCCAGATAAAGCCGTCAAATGCCCAGGCCAGGCTTTTTTTCTGGAAAGCCGCTTTCCCACAGTTCGTCAGGCCATCCCCTAAAAGGTGGTGGGTCAGTCCGGCCGTACCCAAAGCCGGACGGACTGGCTGCTTGGGATCACTGCCTCTCTTTCACTCATCTTTTTCCCCTTACACTTCTTTATCATGTGTCATCAGGGATGCGGGGGAGAGCTGGGATGGTTTGATCTCGAAGGAAACTGAGCTAAAACTTCCCGAGCAGAGCGTATGGGTATAGAGTCCCAAGCAGTTGCTGAGGTTCGTAATAAGTTCCTCTACTTGGTAGAGGTTAACATTTGTGTCGCTTCTGGGGATAATTTGCTTTCCTCGATAGCTTGCATGTCATGTATCAAGTTACCATCGTGGTCTGTAGTATAGATTACGTTGGCAATTGACTAGTATTACTGAACCTTGAACTCCGTCTCTCCCCGGAATATTTGTGACAATTTAGGCGAATGCTGCCCGTGTTAAAGATTGAAATGATGTTGCCGTGAACCTTGAAGTAATCCTGCCTAAATCCTTCGTAGTTCAAAACTACAAGTTCTCCGTCTGCCTCGTTACGATGGCCCCAAATGGTTGTTCCCGAGAGGTGTGAGGTGCAACAACCTCCAAGTGTCCTCTTCCTCCAGAAACAACCTTCGATTCCCCGCGAAACACCTATTTGGCTATTAGCCCCTCTCCCAATCCATCACCCGAAGTTTCTCACGAAATTCGCCTCTTTTGTGACACCTCCGGCCGAAGCTAGTCTTTCCCCGTATTTTCAGCAAGCGTACCGTTTCGGGGCCCAGTTTTGGGAGCTGCCAGGAACTCACGGCGTAAAATGGTATACCTAGCCTATTCCCGCAACATTTCGATGCCAGGGACCCTCAACAGATGGCTAATACACAGCACCCTTTAGAATTCTCTATTCAACTCTGCCCTAAAGCAGACACAGTCTATCAAGAAGGACTTGGGTACATTCGCGGAGTCCCCTGGAACTTCGTCACCGGCCCTACAAGGTATGATGGAAAAATTATTCAAGCCCCTCTCATAGACACCAAATGAAGATGCTCATCCGCCAAATTTAGGACAGATATCTGCTTCATTAGCTTCTCTCTCACGAACTATCGATGATTACGACTCTATGGCAAGGCGAGAGATCGTTCCCGCAAAGCAAGAAAAGGCACTTCAGCGTGTCAAGAATTTTAGAAAGGAGATTTCGGAGTACAGGCAGCAGTTTGTTAAGCTGAAGGGCGAAAGGGCCGACGCTGTATGGGGGAAATCCGATTGCAAGATTTCGTATAAGCTCTAACGATGGGTTTATTCTAGGAGCATACCGTCGCTCGCGGTGAACTCCTCGGACGTCGTGGACATTCATCTGCGACCCCCGAGAACCCCTATGCGAATACTACGCATACCCGAAACATCTCCTCTCCACATTCCCCGTTCGCACCGGCCGGGGGCGCTCAGACTCATACGATGTCCCAAGAAGATCACGTTTTCCGGGAAAGAGATTTCATGTCGCGTACGAACGATCAGCTTGATGACTTTCTCGATCGAGGCAGGGCTGTACTGGCGGACCTGGGTGAACAAAGGCAGATGTTGAAGAACACCCAACGAAAGCTTTACAACGCCGCAAATACACTGGGGGTGAGTAGGGATACAATCAGGATGATTGAGCGGAGGGCTATGCAGGACAAATGGATATTCTACGGTGGGATTGTGGTCTTCTTCCTCTTTTGCTACATGGTCTTGAAGTTGTTGCGTTAAGGCTGGATGATGGAAGAGGCGGGAAATATGAATGCGTATAATAATGTATGGTTGTGGGAGGAGGCGTTTTCCTTCTTATTCTTCTCAAAATTCGATACACACACACCCTAGGCAAAGTACTAGAATGTAAGCAAGTCACTTGAATCGCTTGGTGAATCCAGTAGATGTTATTTTTTTTTCTTTTCCGTTCATGCATGTGCATTGCAGAACGATTATTTGTGTAAAGTAGTGGGCAGTACTGCGCAGCAGTCGAGCTCCAAGGTGTCATTATCATAGTCTCCTGCTTCTCTGCCAACCCTTGCGGTTACTACGCTGCCCCTTCATCCCTCAACTTCATCTCATCTTCATGCCCCGACCAACTTCCGCCTCACTCCACCCGCCTCCGATCACCACCTCGGCCTCCTCCCCTAACCTCACATCCCACCTGAATAGCGATGAGAACCGACGAACGCGAAACTCCTTCGGCGGCGGTAACGGCGGGATCGGTGGTATCGGAGCGGGAGGGAATGGCAGTGTTGGTGGAACTGGTGGTGGTGGCGGAAACAGCGCCCTGACGGATTCCGATGATGACGATACAATGTCTTCCAGCAGTTCTTCGATGCCCCTACCGTTGAGTGGAGGGGGGTTCAATGGGATGGGAGGGATTGGAGGTGGGATGTTACACCCAAGCTCGTTTGCTCCGCCGTTTTACAATCGGCCGCCGACTGTGAGTGCGCACCGGCATCCGCCCCCCCTGGCCTTGGCCCATCGTACTGATGATGATGATGAATCTTTCGCTCGATGCTCTCTAGCCATTACCACCATCGCCTTCGCTAACTTCACTTTTACGCCCGCCATTCACTCCCTCCCGTCCCACCACTCCTGACTCCTCCGATAGCGAAGCCGTCGCGACCTCCTCCCGAATCGCCCAGTCCACGCCACGAGCTGCGCCAAAAGTGCCCACATACGAGTACTATGGCTTCGTACTATACCTCGTATCCAGTCTCGCGTTCCTAATCTACATAATCTGGTCCTTCTCTCCATCGCCGTTACTGCATGCCGTAGGAATATACTACTATCCGGGCAGATGGTGGGCACTCGCTCTACCAAGTTTCCTGGTCATGCTTGTAGTCTACATCTACGTTGCCCTGGCAGCCTACAACACCGGCTACCTAACCCGGGGACTAGACCACTTGGAATGCATAGTCGACGACGCCGCAAAGATCGCCAACGTGGATTTTGGCGGCGGGGGCGAAGCCCCGGAGGACGAGAGTGCGGGCAATAGCGGTGTGAGTGTCAGCATCGGCAGCAGCGGTGAGGAGGCCATCTCGCCGATAAGTCCTCTGGACGGCGGCTTGGTAATGAAGTCCCGCAGAGCACCCCCAAAAAAGGAGGAGAAGAAAGCCGCGCGCACAGGCCGAGTGGAGAGCGTCAGCGAGCGATGGAAGGGTACAGGGGTATCAGAGAATGACGGGCAGAGAGATTGGAAAGCTCTGTGGAATAGGGGCACGGATGCAGTTATGGATATCCCCGTTGGAGGCGTGTGCGAGGTGCTGTATGGAGATGGACGGGAGAGGGAGCAGTGGGAGATTAAGATTGATGAGCAGGATTGGGGGAGCTTCGAGGTAGCGACTGAGGTTGATGTGTTTTGAAGGGGTGGGATTATATAAAAGTTTCTTTGGTCTTAATGATGGTTTGAGAGGTAGCGGTAGAGGGAGGGTGGGAGAGAGAGAGAGTGTGTGTGTGTGTGTGAGGTGCATAGGCCTGTTCTTCACGTTATATATTTAGTCTATTAGAGCGTGGGCATTGAGTAGGTAGGTAGGTAGGTAGGTAGGTAGGTAGGTAGGTGGTCGGGTACAGTAATTGTAATGTTGGATACAGTACGAGTACATCATCCTTTGTCTGCTCACGAGAAGTGAGCATGTGTGAAGGCTCCTCGATCCTTGCACCTACCCACAATACACACACACACACACACGGAGCGAGAAAAATTTCGGAAATTCCGGTACAGTTAGCGGGGCATTCCTGCAACCACACCAAGTTTATTTTTGTTTGTGTACACATCATCTTTTTATCCGGTACAACCAGAATTTTCACTCAAAGAACTACTCCACCCCCTCACTCACGATACTCCTCCCTTAGGTGGTGTGGCCAATCACAGCCCTCCATCCTAAGGCTTCATTTCCTTTGAGAGTTTAGGACGCTGGCCATAAGACCATCCTACTCACTCACCATGACCTCCCAACCTTCGTCTCCGGCGCTGCCGCATCTCCCCCACTCTCCTTCTCCCCTGGGAGGACCCAGAAGCCCTACCAAGAGCCCAAGGGTCAATTCCCCCAGCCTCCTCCCGCCCGGCTCCCCTCAAGGAGTTTCCCTCAACTCAACCCTCCCCATGTTCGCCACTATTAGGCACCAAAGGGGCTGCCCCAATGCCCTAATCAACGTGGGAAACAGAATCGTGGCCAGGGGAAGTACCTTCCCCGAGGTCAGACAGGAACTAGGATGCACTAATGCATGCTACGTCCTCCTCACCGGAAACACGAAGGCCCCGACCATAGCGGCACCCCAACCGGAGCTCCCAGGATTCAGGACCACACTCCAGAAAATCTTTGGCAATGAAGCGGTAGACGCAGCCGACACCGACGCCTTAGCTTTCCTGGCAGCGGCAGCCTCCTCCTACCACCCGTCACAAGAAAGCCCGGTACCAGTATCCCAGATACCACAGGTACCCGCTTCCTCCCCACCGTTAGGCGAAACGGACGAACCCATGGACCAGTCCCAAGACATCGGAGTAACCGAAACGCAAGCAACACAAGATGTAGCAATGTCCCTGGGAAACGGGAAAAACACAGACCAGACCAGGTTAGGAGACAGCCAACACGCCCACGGACCAAGCGAGGTGCCGGAGAGCTCGGCCCCCCAGAGCGCACCAAGGCAGGTACGATTTTCTTCCCCCTTGACCACGACAAGGGAAATCCCGGGGACCCCAATGGGCAACATGACCAACGACCCAAGCTCCTCACATGCCCAAAACCGCCCCACCATCCCCTCCTCCTCCCTGTATGAATCGACGGAAGTCGAACTCACGCCAGAAGAAAAGGAGGAACTAGGACGCCCCGTCACCGTAGGCATCATGGTGGGCTTCATCCACCAGCTGGAAAAGAAATTCCAGGAGCAGATGCAGGCAATGGAGGAACGGCTTACCGGGGAAATAAGACTAAGGGCTAGGCAATCCAACACCAACACCCCTACCCCTACCCCATCCGCTGCCCCTAGACAACCCAGAACCCAAACCCCAGCCCCCAACCAAAACCCCCACCCCACCCGCAACACCGCACCGCAGCCCCCCCCCCCCCCCCTCAAAACAAATCCTAAGAAAGCCTAAGGGAGACGCACCAATACCGGCACCACAAACCGGGACGAGTACCAAGGCAAACGAAACCGCCCCACAGAAAACAACGCTCAAACAGACATGGGCCACCATTACGTCCTCCGGAATTGATATGGACGGCTTCCGGCTAGTGCCAACAAAGAAAAAAAGGCAAGAGCCAGCCCCAGGCATCCGAGAGACAGCGCCCTCGGCACCCTCAACCCCGCATGCCAGGCAAAGGAGGCTACTCATCCGGTCGGTAGAAAGAGGCCGCAGGATAGGCGCAGCAGGGCTGTCACCAGCAAGAATCAGAGACGCGGTCAACTCGGCATCCAGGGTTAAGTTCGCATACGCAGAATTTAACCGAAATGACGACCTGGTACTCACCACCATGGGAGACCTACCGGCCGAACCAGCCCTCAACGATGTGCCGGCAATCACCAAGGCCCTAAACGGGATCGACGTTTTCGGCTTCAATGTCACCACAGACACACCGTCCATCAACATCGTCATCAATAGTATACCACTAGGGGACGAAGACTGGACACCCGAAGAATGGGACACGGACTCGGACAGATGGGAGGACCTAGCTAAGGAAATCTCTGAATATAACCCGCAGGTCCGGCTGCTAGACAGGCCTAAGTGGCTCAGGTCCCCGACAGCGCTCAAAGCTGAAGGAAAAGTCAAGTCCTCAGCAATAGTGGCGGTAGAGGCAAACGACTGGATCATGGCCGAAACCAAAAAACCGCTCCCGAGCATGGCCATCTTTGGCATGAGGTGTACCTTCCGGAAATATGTAAAGAAAGACTCATCAACCTGTTGCGCGAGATGCCTACAATTCGGACACCATGCCGTCCATTGCAGGATGGAAGCAATATGCAAATACTGTGGAGGAAGACACCACACCAAAGACCACCTCTGCGCACAGACGTACTGCACGGCCGGAAAAGGGAAGATGTGTTCCCATACCCTAAGAAGATGTGTTAACTGCGAAGAAACCTCTCATTTCGCCGGAGATAACCATTGCCCAACTAGGACAAGGGCGAAGTCCCCAGTACAACCCCCCACGGCCGCGGATAAAGGAAAAGCACCAGCAGTGCTGGCCCCTCCCCCGACGCCTAAATAAATATGGCGACAACAGATATAATTTATTACAACGTCGGCGGGTCCATGAACGTTGTCACCGAGTTGATGAAACTCTCAAAAAAACGGAAACCGAAAATAATAGCGATTGCAGAATGCCCTCTTGAGAATGAGGACTGGATACATTTGGAAGGATTTACATGCTACGCTAGCACAAAGGCGACGAGATACGGCTGTGCCGTATATATTTTAGATAAGTACGTTCACATGTTTGTGGTTGAACGAATAACGACACAATACATTGACACTGCTGTGACCGGAGGTGCGGAGATTACCATTGGCTACCAGAGACCCTCGGCAAAGGACTTCGACACAACAAACCAATGGCACACACACGGGGAAAACAACATCCTAATAGGAGACATGAACGCACACCACCCAACTTGGTCACAGGGGTGCCAGAACACGGCCGGGCTAAAGCTGGCCAGATGGATGGACGACAGGGATATGGCAGTGAGAAACCCCCACGTAATCACCCACCCGCCCAATGCGACCAACCCAAACGGAACAACCCTGGACCTTGTGGCTACCGATAAGGGGCAAAAAATCGAAGTACGAACATTGGACCTGGCAACAGCAAGCCATAGGGCACTGGCAATAAAGACCAGTTTCACATGGAGGGACGACGGGGAAAAGCCGCTAAGGTACGACAAGGCGGATTGGGAGGCCATTAGGGCCGAGATCAGCCTCATGGACGACCACAAGGACCACCCAGCCGAAGTACAAAAAGAACTCACGCGCATAGTCAGAAGGCACACCCCCCAAAAAAAACCAGGATACAAAGCTTTCTGGAACAAGTCCCTGCAACAAGAACGAAAGGAGGTCCTCAAACTCGCACACAAGCACCCCCGGCACCCAGAGCTAAAGGAAAAGAAGAAAAACCTGAGGAAAGCCATAATGGAAGCCAAACTCGAAGCTAACGGAAAAGCCCTTCAAGAAGAAACAGATCCTGAATGTTTCAGGACGGTCCGGCCAAGGACCACCAAGCACCCCATACCGGCTTTGTCCAAGGAAAACGGCGAAGTAGTAGTGGAACACGGAGACATCGCTCAAGAAATCCACACGGCCCTGTACGGAGGAGAGAGGAGACGGGCCAAGGAACAAATAAACGACGAACCCGAACCACTACAAATAGAGACCCTAGACGCCGCCATCAAGCAGTCACCGAATGGAGCAGCAAGCGGACCAGACAATATCACCACCAGACTCGTTAAATGCTTTAGGAAAATACGGGAGCCCCTATTCCTAAGAATGATGAACCGGGCATGGAAAGAAGGAATCCCAGAAAGCTGGAAGGTCAGTACTACCATATTGATACCCAAGCTTAACAAGCCATCATATACAGTGGCAAAAAGCTGGAGGCCGATACAACTACAATCTATACTGGCAAAAACACTGGAAAGAGCGGCAGTCATACGGATAGCAAGGCTCGAAATCCTGGAAGACAATATGTTTGGAGGGAGAAAGAGGTATGGTACGACAGACGCCATACAAGCACTAAACAACGTGATAGACACAACTGGAAAAACAGCCAAATGCATCACCACCCTCGATGTCCAAGGAGGATTCGACCACCTGCAGATGGGTAAGGTGTGCGAAAGGCTCGGAAAGTACTCGGGCCACCTGGCGCAATGGGTCCGGCATTGGGCCACCGACAGGACGACCAGCTACCGTTTCAATGGCAGGACGTCCAAAGGATATGCCACTGACAAAGGCACGCCACAGGGCTCCCCCCTATCACCAATACTCTTCCTCATCAGCATGCTGGAGACAGCAAAGGTACAGGCAACGCCCTCCCAAAAAGCAGAAACCAAGGTCCTGATGTACGTGGACGACATCCTGATAGCAACAACATACCAGGACATTAAAGAAGGAAAAAGGCTGCACCAGGAAACCATTAGGGAACTTGAGGCAACCGCAGGCAAAGACGGGTACGAGTTCGCACCCAGTAAAGCCGAAACAATCTTCGTGCACACCCCACCACAGAGCAAGTTCGAGGTCCACCTACGGGGCCAAGAGATACCCGTTCAAAGCCACTTGAGATGGCTCGGATACTTCCTAACAGACAAATGGAAATGGGACCACCACGTCAGGCACTGGATCAACAAAGCCACCAGCTCCGGGCACCGCATAAGGGCAGTGACGTCCAGATACAGCAAAGGAGGACTGAATGCAGGGACGACAATGCGGCTAATCAAGGGTCTGATAATCCCA